GGGTTGATCCCTGGTTGGGGAAATAAGATCCTGCATGCTTTGCAACCTGTCCCCACCTCAGCCCCCACCCCCACCCCCCAAATAAAGGGAGGAGCAAATGGGTAAGTAGTGATTGCTTAAATAGTTGCCCCACTGTGGGCTTTCCCTGGGGAAGGCATGTGGGTACTTGCTGCATGTTCCATCCCCACTCCCTGCCCGATTACTACCTTAGGGAGATCCAAAGAACCCAGCCACAAGGTGACCCATGCCACCTGGAGTTCAGAGCACAGCGGTTGGAGCTCGAATCTGCATACAGCCAGAAGCACAATATTAGGTTCAAGATCTGGTTCAATCACAAATCTTGGAGAATTTACAAAAACCAACTGGAGCAGGCCAAAAGGTTGTGGAGCGGAGTGCACTTGCAGAGCTGGTGGGCAACGTTATGTGTTTTCTGTGACCTAAGCTGCAGTCACGTTGCAAAATCCCTACCAAGAGGGCTGTCCCTAGAGTGTACTTTCAGCAGAAAGCTTCCACTTGCTACAATCAGGCCCCTGCAGAGCTAGATACTCTTGTGAGCTGTCCCTGAAAACCACTCAAAAGTCCTCTCAGGTTAAAAAGAAAAAGAGTAACTCTATTATTATTATTTTAATTTTTAGGCCACACCAGGCAGCATATGGGACCTTAGTTCCCTGACCAGCGATCAAACCCACACCCCCTGGATTGGAAGACAGAGTCTTAACCACGTCATCACCAGGGAAGTAAAAAAAGAGGCAACTTTAGCTTAGTGTCCCAACTATACCTGATCACAGGATGTGTGCTGGAATTAAATGAGATACAGAATGTGAAAGCCCCTATTAGCATATAAAGTTCTATCAAAGTGTTCATGATTAGTAAAAATGACTCCAAATTATCAAATTAGCCCTATAACAATTTTTTGTCTCCTAGCTCTAATTCCATAAGTCTTTGATTACAACCAGAGAAATTCTAGAAATCACAGGGCTAGAAGACCCCTGAGATTTCATTTACTCAAATCCCTGCCCCCAGGCAGGAGTTACTTCCAACCCCAGCCAAAGGACCACACAGGCTAGATTCAGAATCCCATCAAATGTCAACCCACTTTCTCCTATCCTGGAGTCATTACTGGTCAAAAAACAACAACAACAACAAAAAACAAAACTGATAGATTGTGCCATGTAGAAAAGACCAGAGAAATATCTATCTGTCCTATTTTAAACTCCTGAGAAGGCAACTCAACCATCTGTCTTGGCAACCCATTCTAAGCTGGAACCACCCTGTCAAAAACATCTCTTTTGGTTTAATCTAAATACTTCAAATGGAGCCTCAAGCTAATTTTGTCCCATTCCATTTTCAAATAATTTGGAACACAGTTGTTTACCATCTGAGTTACAGGATTATACAATATCACAGGGTTTTGGTGAGCAATAAATAACACATATAAAACACAGAGCTCATATCTGACACATAGTAATAGCTCAATACATATTTGTTTATTATTACTATCACATATACTAGGATTCTTGTTTCAAGTGACATGAAACGCAACTCAAAATAATTGAGGAAGAAGAAGAGGAAGAAGAGGAAAGGAAAAAGAAAAAGGGATGTGGGTATAGAATGTAATTAGAAGGGAAATAAAATTGTTCAGTGGCCTTCAGGCACTACTGGATCCAGGACTCAAATAATGTTCACAGGACTCCTCTTTCCCTCTCTTTACAAGCATCTGAAATATAGACAGCAGGAGGGCAATGAGTAGATTCACACTGCCTAGGATAGGTTCCTCATTCACCAGTTAATTCATCAAAAATTCCTTCAAAGACAAGTAAGTGGCAAGCACAGTTCTAGAAACTAAGAACAGAGCAGTGCTCAAGATAAAACATTTCACCCTTGTGGAATATACCTTCTAGTGGAAAAGGTGGATCTGGTAGAAGAAGGGATTCCAGAAAGATAAAATGTTATCCTCCACAAAGGAAGTTCCCACCTTATACCATCATTAAGATCAACTGTTGGCTTTCTCTCACCAAGTCAAGTAAACCATCCTTTTCAAAACTTTTTTCCTCTTGGTAAAGGTGCAGAATCCCCCAAATCAGGTCTTCAAATGGGTAAATAAACTTGCCTGGGGATTCTGAGTGCATTTAGTTAATTTAGGCTCTGTAATCTTTGCACAAAGTTTCTAAGATGTGCCTGCAGCCCTAATAACATAACATTCTGCTTCCATTTTCAAAAGTTACTTTTCTTTTTAGACCATTTTTGTTTGAAATACAGGTCTTTCTCCCATCATCTTCATTTTTTTTCCCCTTTGAATAGGATGTTATTTAGTAAAATACTGCAAAAACCTGGTCATCTATTAGTCGTTTAAAAAGTGTTCCTCTGGGTAATTTTAATCTATTTCTCTGTGTTAATCATTCTAACTGTAAAAATGAAGCCCTGGACACCAATTTTTTTTTGAGAACCCAAAGAAATGTGGCCTAAACTTTAGAAAATCTCAACCTCCGCCTTTCCCCTGGAAACTTGCAGTAAGAAATGTTTCCTGAAGCATTTCAGACTGTATTATGATAAACTTCAACTTTTCAGAAAACCAAAACCATCTGAATCAAGCTGCTCTCACCTGAAAAACCTCAATTTACCAGGGCTATTTCAGATTCATTCCACAAACAGCCTAGCTGAATTAGTGATGCACACAATTCTATTTACGTTTGACGCTGGCCTAACAGATCTGTGCCACCACGTGAATCCATTCATTGACAATGTAGAGATCAACGCGCAGTAAACTCAAGGTGACTCAAGTGTGTGTGTAGCGGGGCCAGGAGTTGGTCGTCTACGTCATTGCTTCTATTTTTCAAGTACTATTACAAGTTGTGTGCCCTGCCCCCAACTGTTTTTTTCTAATGGTGCGTTTCAGTGTCCCTGTCCCTTCTGCTTGGGTTAGTATCTCTTGTCAGGGCAGTAATTTAGTTCTTTAAATCCGGATATAATGTATAAATGGGTCATTTGGTTCAGTTAAACCCCATCATTAAAATTGATCTCCGAATTAAACAAAAATGGATTTTTAATCGAAAAGCTCATCAGCTCCACCCCCTGTCCCCTCACTTTGCCCGGCCTTGTCCACCTGGTTTCGCACCTTTCCTAGATTGCCTCTTGGGAAAGGATGAAGAACCTCGGCAGACACCCCTTCCAGGATCAGTCGTCCGGCGCGAACACATTTTGGAAAAAACAGAAAACAAAAACCGGCTGGCTTTGGGTTGGTTTTGGTTTTTTTTTTTGCTTTTAAGCTTAATACTCTTTTTATCTTTGCCTTCCAAGCGGAAGGTCAGCTCCAACCCTTCTTTCCTGCGCTTCTCCTTCGCGAATGGGGCACGATCCCTGATGCTTCCTCCCGAGTTAGGAAAGGGACAGAACTTCCCCAGGAGGTGCGCAGCGTCTCCGCGGCGCTTTCGTGGTTCCGTCCCCCCAGTAGGAGACCCTGTTGCACCGGAGGGAACGCGTCGGATTTTTCTGCTTACCCCCCGCCCCGCTTATGAGGGCGGAGACCGAAGCCGGCTTCGGTGTTTGTTTTGCAACCCTGTAAAACCCACTGCACTTAGCGCTGTGCGAGGCCCCTGGGCCTTCGCCCAAAGAAAGGTAGCGATAAGAGGTCGAGGAGCTCAGCGGACTCGGTGGGAGAAAGACGCGACCCACGCGGTCGCGACACGTGGGTCTTCAAGGCTGCGACCTCTCGCTCCCGGGCTAGGCGTGTCTCTTAACCTCCCTCGACCCCACCAGCACGCGGGTCGGGGCTGGGCTCGCGGATGCGGTTGGCAGCAGTGCGCGAGCGCGTCCTCACCCCGGGGGGGCGCGAGCCCGGCCTCCGGTGTGGGTCCCCAGCTCCGCCGCGTAGCCGCTCTCCCGGACCCAGAGGGGAAGGAAGAGGGCGGCGGCGGGGCCGCGGGGTGGGGGGTGCGCCGGCCGCCGCTCGGATTGGCTGCACCGTCGCCCCCTCCCCGCGCCGCGCGCCCCCCGCCGCGCGCCCAGCCGGCTCCCGCCCGTAGCCCGGGAGCAGGTTCACGCTGGAAGGAGGACGCGCAGGGGCGGGACTGGTCTCCCCGCCCCGCACCCGACCCCGAGCGCGCGGGGATAAAACCCGGCCGGTGGCGCCGGGGAGCCGGGGCCCTGCTGCCTCCCGTGAGCGGAGAGGCGGGGCCGGGTCCGATCCGCTTCCCGCGCCCCCGCCCCTCGGACCCGGCTCCAGGAGCCGGGAGCCCCGCGCGTGGGCACGCGACGACCGGATCGCCCAGGCGGTACCTTCAGCCGAGCAATGAAGAGAGCCCGGGAGAACCAACCGGAGCCGGTCGAGACGTTTCCTGCGGCCGGGGTTGCTGCTGCTGCCGCCGAAGCGGCGGCTTGAAACTCCCCAAAGTTGCGAGCCAGCGAGAGGCTGCCGCCCGCCGGGAGCAAAAGGGAAAGGAACTCCTAAGATGCCGGAGTGACAGACAAGAGACAGACGGACGCACAGACCTGCAGAAGACACCACGTCGGCGGCCTATCCCCGGAGCCCGTGAGGCGTCCCAGCTCTGTGAGTTGCTTTCTGGACGGGTGGCTTGCTAAGTATTTCCCTGTAATTGTTTATAAGACGCGTTTGTATCTTTTTGTGTCTCCTGGAGTGAGTAAAAAAAAACCCAAAAAACAAAAAACCAAACGCAACAACAACGCAGGGTGCACCTTAAAAAACAGTTGAGTTTCTGATATTGAGAAGGTTGTGCCGATAGAGTGGAACTGTAAATGCCTGTAAGCAGGAGTAACCCAGGAAAAATTGGCACATCTAACATAGACTCCCCAGTGTGAAAAAACCCTCCTTTTCAAAAGTTATTGGAAAGAAAGCCAGATATTACTCTTAAGGGTTAACTAGTGCTAGTGAATCTTTTTTTTTTTTTTAAACCCCTCTTTAAATATTGATTGTTTACCAGGTTCACTGGTGGGAGGCTGAGCTGGTGGAAAAGGCGCCTGGAAGAGACTCAGAGGCGACCATAATGTCTTTACGTTTACACGCACTGCCCACCCTGCCTGGAGTTGTCAGACGGGGCTGCAAGGAACTGCTGTGTTTGTTGGTTATCACGGTGACTGTGAGCCGAGGCGCCTCCGGGGTGTGCCCCACCGCTTGCATCTGTGCCACTGACATCGTCAGCTGCACCAACAAAAATCTGTCCAGGGTGCCTGGGAACCTTTTCAGGCTGATCAAGAGACTGGATCTGAGTTACAACAGAATTGGGCTTCTGGATTCTGAGTGGATTCCAGTATCCTTGGTAAAGCTGAACACCCTCATTATTCGGCACAACAACATCACGAGCATTTCCTCGGACAGTTTTTCCACCACTCCAAATCTGAAGTGTCTTGACTTGTCATCCAACAAGCTGAAGACTGTGAAAAGTGCAGTGTTCCAAGAGCTGAAGGTTCTGGAAGTGCTCCTGCTTTACAACAATCACATTTCCTATCTGGATCCTTCAGCGTTTGGAGGGCTCTCCCAACTGCAAAAACTGTACTTAAGTGGAAACTTTCTCACGCAGTTTCCCATGGATTTGTATGTTGGAAGGTTCAAGCTGGCAGAACTGATGTTTCTAGATGTTTCTTATAACCGGATCTCCTCTCTGCCAATGCATCATATAAATTTAGTGCCAGGAAAGCAACTGAGAGGTATCTTCCTTCATGGAAACCCCTTTGTCTGTGACTGTTCCCTCTACTCCTTGCTGATTTTTTGGTACCGTAGGCACTTCAGCTCAGTGATGGATTTTAAGAATGATTATACCTGTCGCCTGTGGTCTGACACTAGGCACTTCCATCAGGTGCTTCTGCTCCAGGGTAGCTTCCTGAACTGCTCTGACAGTATCATCAATGGTTCCTTCCGTGCCCTTGGCTTTATTCACGAGGCTCAGGTCGGGGAAAGGCTGATGGTCCACTGTGACGGCAAGACTGGTAGGGCAAATACCGATTTCATGTGGGTCGGTCCAGATAACAGAGTGCTGGGGCCCGACAAAGAGATGGAAAACTTCCATGTGTTTCCCAATGGAAGCCTGGTTATAGAAAGTCCTCGTTTTGAGGATGCTGGAGTGTATTCCTGTGTTGCAATGAATCGCCAGCGTCTGTTAAATGAAACTGTGGATGTCACAATAAACGTGAGCAATTTCACCATAAACAAATCCCACGCGCACGAGGCATTTAACACAGCTTTTACCACGCTTGCAGCCTGCGTAGCCAGCATTGTTTTGGTCCTTCTATACCTCTATCTGACACCGTGTCCCTGCAAGTGTAAACCCAAGAGACGTAAAAATATGTTAAGCCAAAGCAATGTCCACGCATCTATTCTCACTCCCTGCCCTGATAGCGAGGCCGCCACTGATGAACGGAAGGCAGGGGCCGGGAAAAGAGTAGTGTTTCTGGAACCCTTGAAGGATACCGCAGCAGGGCAGAATGGGAAGGTCAGGCTCTTTCCCAGTGAAACAGTCATAGCTGAGGGCATCTTAAAGTCCACGAGGGTGAAATCCGACTCAGATTCGGTCAATTCAGTGTTTTCAGACACACCCTTTGTGGCGTCCACTTAATTTTGTGCCTGCATTTGTACTATGTAGTGATTGAATCTCTTTATATTCAACTTTGTGTGTGGTCTGCAAGAATAAACAGCAGGGCAGAAATGGGGTTGTTCTGTGTTCCAGAAATAAAACCAAAGGGTCTCTTTCACTGGTTCATAGGAAATGTGGTAAAGCACTTAGGTTCATGCCAGAGAAAGATGGAGTTGTATTTCAGAGTTTTAAGTTCTAGATAATACCTTCCTCTTTAGCACCACTGATAATTTCAAAGCTGGCCTGGAGGCGACGTTACTGACATTGTCCTTTCACTCAGGATTCTTGAAAGAAAAGCTAAATTTTAGGTATTAGAGATTTTACTAACTTATTGGGACCAAATTTGAGTTATGTTAAAGAAAAGTGTTCATTTTTAAAAGATGCAGAAGGAAAAACCAAGCAGCAGTTGTTTATAAAGCACAAAGTAAAGTTAGATTTGGGGATACTTCAGTTCATGTTATCATTGCAGACCAGAGTAAATAGACAGTCCTGCTCAAATTTGCTGAGCAGTCCTACATCACATATGGTGTTAGATAAATAGTACAGTAAAGGTGCATTTGTTTGACTGTCTTCTTTCCATTCTGTACATCTCCTATCCTTGTACAAAAGATCTTATTGAAAGTTTAAAGCCATCATTATTTGTGGCCATAAATATGTAGGTGTCAGTGCCAAAATGTCTGAGTAACTTCTTCAGCCTTTGTTCTAGGAGACTAGTATTTGTCTATATGCTTGTGTGTGTATAAGTCTCAAATTATATGAACTGTTAAAGAGATGCCACTATATTGTACTTTGGACATTTGAATTAATGTAAATACATGTGTTCTGCGACTTGATGTTCTGTTTTATTTGGCTATTTAAAAATATAAATCTAAGATGTTTTATGTGATCTGATTGTGCTGCTTTGTGTTAAGCACCATCTATTGCAGATTACTCTCCAAATTTCTTATACAGTATAGAGGTTTTTTAAAGAGGAAAAAAGGCTATGGAGTGTCCTACCCAGTGTATACCTTCAATATCCCATTTTACCTGATACCATTATGCACTTCAGCCAGGTTTGAATGTCACTTAAGTTCTGAATTTGGTACATGTAGGAGCCTCCTTATTCCCATCTCTACTGTGAGATAATCAACTACCCACTTTGGACCTAGGTTTTCTCAGCTATGAAACTGAGATTTCAGAGGTTCCTTCCCACCCTGGAAGTGATGACTTCCCGGTGGTTTTAGCTCCATCACAGACTTGCACTGGCTTTCTGAAAATACACCACGTACTGATAGAGGACAGGAATGGGATTAGGACAGACTAGCGTAGTACTAGCCTAGGTCTGAAGGACTATGAGTTTGGATTATCAAGTCCAGCTGCTTTACTTTCTCAGGGATAAATGAAACCCAGAGAGGGCTGTGGGTTGTCTAAGGCCACAGGAGTTAGTGACAGGGATTCAAGGAGAGCTGTTTCCAGGTTCTTCCTGGTGAAGAAAAGAGTCAAAAAGTGGCTGTTTTTAACGATAAGGATGGTGAAGTAGCCAAAGAATGAGGCAAAACAGTGGTCAGAAAATGACAAAGGAGAATGAATCAGGGATGTGTTGTCACCGGGGCTGAGAGAAGATAATTAAAAGATGGAGGCAGGCCACAGTAACAAGTATTTGGAGAACTGGAGAATGAGATGAGGAGGGAAGACTGACTTTGGTAATGGTGGTTTTGGGGGGACAGTGGATCCTTGGTGACAGCTTGATAAGTGCCAAGCCAAGCACCTAGTGGCAGATACTGGTCAACTGTGGGTTAAGGAGTGGGTGAGCGGTGAGGATGTGTGCATAGGAAATAGGTTAGGATGTTACCTGTTGCTCAGTTGACTTGACAGTTCCTTATTGCCTAGTTGGTGTTGAAAACACTGCCTCTACCCTTTAGACATAGAGCTCACCTGTTAGATAAGATCCTTCAGTCCCAAGGATATTACAGGAAAACGTTTTATTCCAGTTCCTGCCATTTAAGCAATTAGGAAGAATTCTGTGATTGTGTGATCCTTAAAATTGTTACTCTTTCTTCATTCATATTTGGATGAAGAGATGCTGTGGTTTATTCAGGGTCACACAGGGAGTCCGGACACGGGGAAACTCGTGAACCACAGACACTTCAGGAGGGGGAAGGGCTGCCTCCAGGGGCCATAATCGCCAGGATGCTGAGCGTGAAAGAGCATGACCAGCAGTGGGGTTGCAGAAGACCTCTGAGTTCAGCCTTTTCTGGGCCAGATCTCTAGGGTCTTTCAACTCTCAAACCCTTGATCCTAGGAAATGCATGTTGCCTTTGGCAAGGGACCATGGTCAGTGCTGGCAGTGGGGAGTTTGGAGAGCCTGATTTTGGCTGGTCCTAATCCTGATTCTTGGTTAAAGGATGAGCTGAATTGAGATCAAAACTAACATATTTACAACTCAAAAAAACATGCATATATACATATACATGTGTATATATATGGATGTATGTATGTAAAACTGAATCACCTTGCTGTCATCTGAAACTAACACAACATTGTAAATGAGCTATATTTCAATAAAAAATAATGCAAAAGCAAATCCTGAATGCTGCAAAGCAAAGCTCTGTTTTGGACTGAAATATGGAGGCATGGTGATGTAAAAGCATAGAACTGAATGCTATGCTGTGACATTTTAACTTCTTAAGTGTATCTTTTCTTTTTTGAGGGGGTGGGGAGGGTAGAAGCCTGGGGGCTTCCCAGGTGGCACTAGTGGTAAAGAACCTGCCTGCCAATGCAGGAGACATGAGACTCAGGTTTGATCCCTGGGTCAGGAAAATCCCCTGGAGCAGGCATGGCAACCCACTCTAGTATTCTTGCCTGGAGAATCCCATGGACAGAGAAGCCTGGTGGGCTATAGTCTGTAGGGTTGCAAAGAGTCAGGCATGACTGACAAGACATAGCATGCACATAGAAGCCTGATCACATGTATTTTAAATGTAGGAACAGAAGTGATTTGTGCATTATAAATTTGTTTCACTCAAAACTTTTATATAATTTTCCTTCCAAGTAATAATTTGGATTTATGTACCTGGGTTATTCTTTTAAGGTACTTAGTATTTTTTATTACTCAGTTATGAGAGAAGTGAATACTCTGGAAAAATCAAAGATCACATATGTGAAATTTTCCTGGGCTTACAATATTTTTTCACTATAATTATAAGATACTAAGTTGATGATAACACTCTCTATTAACCATGAGTTACATTTTAAAATATACTTTCAAGACCTATTATCTGAACTAATGCCCTAAAACATTAATTTATAGTCAACTTCTGCATGAATCCCCACTGTTTGGCTTAGAGAGATTTAAATATGTTTATTTTTAGCTTTAGTTACTTGATTTATTTGCCTGGAAAACATTTTTTGTTTGTTTGTTTTGTTTTTCATTTCTCTAAATAAACCTTTTTCTAAAATGTTAATCAGAAGGGACGTAGGTGAAACTTACAGGGGTGGAGACATAAGAGGGACAAGAAGATACGCTGTCAGTCCAGATTCTAAAAAGACATCTGATTTGGATCATCCTGCTAAGCACTGTTAAAACAGTATACAGCCTAAACACCCTCCAATATTGCTGGCTTTTCCTTGGCCATGACTGCTGCTTGCTGATTGTCACCTTTTAATTTCATCTGCTTTACTGAGCAGCAAGTAGGTCTAAATCAGAGCATCACTATAGGATCACAGGGGAAAGTTAGATAAACAGGGGTTTCTAGTAGCTACCCTCTATACACTTCCCAACCAGAAGTTCTGGTTCAGGCCATCTAGGGTAAGGCCTGCATGTGATTATTTTTTTCCCCCTAAATAATTATGCTTCTACTTATTTTGTTGAAACATACCGCTCCACTGCGCCCCCTCCCCAAAATGAGGCTGTAGCAAATTTTGTGTTTGGGGCTAGGTCAAAATACATTATTATTACTTTCTAATAGATTTGTTAATAAAAAGAAGAATTAGTGCACACAAATTCTAATATGTTGGGAAAATGAAAGAGTTTGATTCTCTGTTACTAAATAAACTCTAGAGTAAATTGTTGGCTATAATTTATAATTTATGATTTTCTAAATTATGAAACAGAGTAATTACTTTGAGATCAGTAGATCTCTGATTCTTTCATTTTTTAAAACTATTTTTGGCTTGAAAGCAGCGACGACAGATCCGGTTCATGACAATGAGCTTTGGGGCTTTCAAATTTGATTAGATCGTAGTAACGTGAAGGCATATCCCAAGGATATCTGAGTGCAGATTTCAGCTGCAGAGAACAAACTTCTTTGTTTTCTTCAGTATATTATTAGAATACTATTTTTAAAGGCGAGTACTGAAATTCTTTTCATTGTTCTCTATACCTCTTTGGCCAAGAACCAGCCCCCAAAGCCATATTTAAAAAAAATTTTTTATAGTATGAAAGTTAGTGTGGAAAGATGATAGTAGTTCGCCCTTGCAAGTATTATTGGGTGGTAATACATAAAATGTAGAATCTAAAACTCTTATGATAACCTCCTGACTGATTCAGAGGACTGCTTATGAGACCATTATTATTTGTGAATTGATTCCAGAGGGGTACCCTCTTATAGTGAGGGTCAGAGTAAACAGTATGGAAACACAGACCCTTTTATAAATTGTAAAAGGTGATATATCAATATATGTATATATTAAATATTAAGTGCCTTGCGAAGTGCCAGACATACTGTGAGAGATGGTGCTTATTATTCCTCATCACAGAATCTCTGAAATGGAAAATATTACCACCCCCTTCATTTCAGATAGGAAAAAGAGGTTTAAAAGGGATAAATAATTTTCCCAGGTGACTCAGTTAATAAGTCATTTTCATCATGAAAATCATTTAAAAAATATCTGGCCAGAACTCTTCGAGATGTTCTACCAACAGAATAACTACATGACGCATGGGTCATAAGTAAACTTTTATAAAAGTAATTAGCGCTCCCAGCAAATCTGGGAGAAGAATG